ATCGAATGCTACTCGCGTCACGTTGCGAACCACGCGTTTGTGTGAGCGTTGTTAAGGTTTTCAGTTGCAACCTGCATGTTGCATCTCTGCTGTTCTCGCCCGCGTGTCCTTTTCCTTACTCCCGCATTTACCATCTGGTACTTCATTACCGGAACGTCACTTGTCGGATACAAACGATAGACAGACGCGAATAGTTGTCGGCTACTAAAGAATCATTACTCGCGAAATTATGCGCGCTTGTTTCAATTGTAGGGCCACTTATTCAAGCCCCGTTCAAGCGTTAACGATCGTTAGCGACTGTTGTTTTCCCGAACGATAATTACGTCTCGTATTCGGCTCTTTTCCGGCTTGTTTACACATGTATATTCAAATGAATTTTTCTCTGTTCATTAGTAAAAATTACGGTCAAGCGTCCGGAACGGAATAACTGTTTTTATCGAGTCGCGTATAAATTTAGATTTGTCTATGCGTCCTTTACAACGCGTATTCAATTCTCTATTTGCAGCGGCGAACTTGTCAAACTTGTTCCGCAACGATTCGTCGTAAAAATACGTAAGACACGCTCGCGGTGGGCGTTCAAAATAATCATCGCACATCTCGTAGTCGAGTTTACCCGAGTATGAAACTTCATCGCATGACGATATTTCCATGTCATTTAACGTAGTGCCTGAAATGATATCAATATCTGTCACGCGTGAGGTACTCGTTTTCTCGATTTCCCGTACGCTCGTTGCACGAGCGTTGAGATATAAGAATCAGGACGCTAAATGCATCGTCGCTAAACCCGCCCCGGGTGTTCTCGTCTCGGAGATACGTTCGCTCGAGCTTTTTATAATATTTCATCGAGTGGGTACGGGGTACACGCAAAGGGCACACGCTCGTGTATACGCGCGGTCCACCAGCCGCGGTGTAAATCTCTCTTTGCGGCTCTCTCGGTGTGTGCCTGGTGGCACTGGCTCGTATATACCCGGGTAGGGCAGGTATGTATCTATCTACCTACCTACGAGCGACTGTTGCAAGCGTCGTTACTTACGATGGATAACGCAAGGTATGTAGGCACGTACCTGCTTACACATATACATACGTGCACGCATACACACACGCATACCTTCGCAGGTAATCGCCCGGACCCGGGGCCTGTTCCGTTGCCGGCAAAGAGGCACTCCCGACACGCGCCAATGCATGTCTTGCTCCATTTCATCCTCGCCTATTCCCACCACTTACTCACCTACTTACCCTACGAGACGGAAACTCTGACCGAGACGACGTGCACAAGCCGCGGCGGACCAAACGAGATAGGAATTTTATGCGCCGCAAACGCGAGTTATATTGCAACACGTGTACGTATTATACCTCTCTGGTCTGACCAGCTTGTGTTCGCCCAGCGCGGACAGATTTGAGAAACGCACCGCAAAAACGCACGATGCGGAAGCGCGTTGGTGGTTCTGCTCTTTCTCCTCGAGAGATTATTAATTATGAATCTTTCGAGAATTTTTTTTCAGGAAAGATCCCGGCGCTCCTCATCAGTTACATTGAATTATAGTGTCGGAAGAGAAATCGTGTGAATTCTTTTCTTTCTCCTCGAAATAAATTAGCTTCTTCACGTGCTATCATGTTCGATGATTAATAAAATATATATTAATTTGTTTTCTGATTCGACGAGCAGTGTATGTCTTGATGAATTATACGGTCGGAAGAATCAATTTTTTAAATTCAATTATTTTTTGAATTCAATTTTAAAAATTTAATAAAGAATAACGATTAATAAGATATGGTTTAATTTAATATCTACGCGAAAAAAATTACAAGTTACATTGAAACATACATTTTCTTTTGTAACATTTATTGTAAAATTGGAATATAACAACGTTAAGACATTTATTACTGTAAATTATTGTAAATTATGCATTTGTTTGTTTGTTAACCATTACGTATTTGTTTGTGTATAAGAATATTTGAATAATTTCAATATTCTCTTGTAAAATATAATACATACATGTATAATATTATTCAACAAAAATATTATGATTTTTCTTATATGTTAGTATGTTTGACGATTACACAAATTATATATTGTAATTTTTACTATTTTAATATATTTAATATATTTTGTCCAATTTTGTGCAATTCTTTGTAAATGTAGGATGTGCAGAAATAAGCGCAGCGAGATTAATTATGGAGATCAAGCACGTTATAATTTAATTGTTAAGTAGGATTTTAATTAATTTAATTACGGAAGGTAATCTCATATCGTTATACACAAATTTATTTTCGCTGCGGGCCGTATCCATAAATAACGTATTTTCAGGAAAGAGTAAATTATTTTGAGTTTTAACTCTGTATATTTTATGAAGCATTACATGTATCGTTACTGCAGGCTTAATGTAATCAGTGATCGGAGAAATTTTATATATTTCGTATAATAACAAGCATATGCGCGTGAGTGGTCATTCATATTGAATTTTAATGTGTTTCCTTTATTAATATAAAAAAAAAATTAATTTACATATTTTGTAAATACTAATTCTTCATCTCTCTTTAATATACATTTTATGACATATATTCTTATTCTTTTAACCGATCATTCCTAGTTTATAAGAATAATAAGAAGAGACTTTGTATACTGACACGAAATTGATTAATTGTATGCTTTATACACAGCTTATCTTGTTCTTCTCTTTGATTAATGTTTCAAATTAATCATCGTATGCTAACTCCTCAATGACAGCGTCAATGTGAAAAAAAAAATATTCGCCGCGCACATTCAAAGTTCAAAATTAAATTGAACCGATCGTTTTTTTGCTGCGTAATCTTTATTATGACATAAGTGAGCCAAAAAAAATTCAATTTATTAAACGGGCGATTAAAATCTTGTATGATCATCAAACGCACGTGATAACCGTGGAAATCGCCGGCTTCCGCCGGACGATCGGCGATTCGTTTCTTTCGATTTCGATTTTCTTATTAATGACGGGAGGATCGCAGCGCGATTTGTTGAAATTGAGTTAGGACTGAAAGGGGTAGATCGGAAATACGCGCCGGGCGTGATCCGCGTTTGTTCGCTCAAACATACGTACGCGTATATTCGGGGCGATATCTCGGACGAGGCAAAATATTTACGAGAAAATTTCGCCGTGGGTGGCGCGGCTTCATGAATAATTTCGGTCCGCAGGAGACTCGTCAGCCCCGGGCTATGTGCTCGGGGCGCACGGTTCTAATTACGGCAACTGCAGAGCGCGCGTCTGCGCCCCCGGCTATCCCTCCAGCCGGTTTCCAACCTCCCTTTTCCTATCCCAGCACAATTTCCACAGAGCCCACATCCGTTCTGAAATGCTAGCAATCCTCCTCCCCCTCCGGCTTCTCGCCTCCCTCTTCCTCTCTCTCTCTCTCTCTCTCGCTATGTATCTATCTATCTCTTTCTCGCTTACTCGTTTTCTCTCACGTTCCGCATGCTCCTTCTCTCGCTCCCTCCCTTTTATAGCTCGAGGTGTACATCGACTATTACGTTGCAACCAATTTTTGAAAAGTTTCTGCAGACTATATATATATATGTATATATATATATATATATATATATATATATATATGTATATATAATTTTTTTCTACACTTCTATGTGCGCATATTTCTCATGCTGAGAGAAAAATAAAGTTTGCATCATGTGCAATTGCAATTAATACAATAAATGCAATGTCATCATTTATTAATTTATTTTTATGTATAAGTTTCAAACAGAAGCTTCTTTTAACTATATTACTTTTAATTATTTTACTAATTAAATTATACAATTGTATTTTATTATTTGTATTTATTTAGTTATTATTACGTTTATTTGAAATCGCTTTAGCCGAATAGTAAAATTCCATCATAAACTGATTGTTAAGCGCAGCTTATTAATTCGCAATGACTGCGCTGAGATATCTAGGGGGAAATGAAAGATTGAATCAAGGAAAAGCCCATGTAATATTAATCATGTTATAATTGAAAATTGCATCACGTTCTCCATATATCAGCTAGCTGACTACAAATTCATGTTAATCATTATTAATTCCACGTACGAATATAATTATATGTATAATTATATTATATTATGTTATACGTGATACATGCTATAGGTACATTTTCTTTCATTTTATTTTTATGTACTATTTAGACTTTAGTTTTCTTCGACTTGTTTGATTTTTAACTGTGATAAGTATTCAGCTACCTTAACTAATACATTTACTTCTTATCCATAGCTCATTATGTCAAGAGGAGAAAAGCATCGATCCATCAGTCACGAATCTTGATGCAATAAATCTTGCAGATCATACAAAGATATTATTTAAACGTACCATAAATTTTAACCGTACGAAAGAGAACATGACTTATTATTATATAATTTAGAAATGTTGTTATAAAAAAATTAAGATCATCAAGTTTTATAAGTCTTAAATCTTTATAAGCCTTAAAGTCTAAAAATATAAAATAAACATTTAAATATTTTTAATTAATCTTCTTCTACAATTCTATAGTTTCAAACTATTTTATATCTCGATCGCGTTAATTTCGAGAATGGTGAGGCCATTATTTCAATTTTCGATTAGACTATACCGCGCAATTTGTCTCAATGTATAATGTCCGATTTTTATGCCAACATTTTATATATTCTCCTCTAGAGTCTCTTTGTATCACGTGCGATTATTCGCGACGCGAAATGCATAATTGATCACAACTATTGTTCGATGATGAGGGAATGCAACGCATGATTGAGCAATTTCATTGTCCTGTCGTGTTTCTACATATGCATTTCTAAAGACACCGACACCCTCTCGCGCACGGACACGTCTGGCATAGATTAAACTTTCTTTACCCGCGGTGTCGTGAGATCAGATTGACTTTCTATCGACTCAACTTTAACTCAATCGTATAAAAATGCCCCACGGACGTGTGCGTAGGTGATTACCTGATGTCGTAGCATTTTCTCGAAAAGCGAAATTATTGCAACAGGCATCTAAAGGATGTTACAAGGCTGTCTGAGTCCTAGCTCTAGAAGAGATGAGAAACTCTTGGCGGGAACTTAACTAAGAAAATGCATAATTTGTAACACATGCGTACTTTTGAAAAAGATAAGGAAATAATATAAATTATAAATGAAATAAATTACATGTGTAATAAATTATACGATATAAATTATGAGACAAAATAATATTTTTTTGTACAGAAATGTAATGCGAGATTGCTTAGATAAATTTCACTTTCTCCAGATAAATCCGACAACAAATGAAATCATTAATCATTAATCATTAAAAATCATTCACAGCGTTCACAAGTTATAAGGATTTTAATTTTCACCGAATTAAGATGTGTTCTTATGGGAAACGTATAACTACGTCGATTCAAATCACAAAAACACATGGAAATAATATTCAGAATTTGTTTAAAATTTACAAAAGTTTAGATACAGAGGAAATATTTGGTCAAATAATATTATACAAGTACTAACTGGTTAAAAAGATATTAAATATAATTCAATGAAGTTAGCCATGTATCTGACACAAGGCGAAATTCTCTGCCAAAAGTTAATCATTTCGATTAACAAAATTCGGAATATTTCAGTAAAAACGCAATAAATATTAAAAAATACATCTCTGCACTGTAGCGAAGATCAAATTGTAATATTCCACACAATTTCTTACTCAAAATACATCAAAAAATGGATAATCATCAATATTGATTTTCAGCTACTTTTTGATTGTATATATAAAACATTCTTAAAATTAACCGATCACATAGTATGTCTTTCAGATGTTAAATTTACATCAATGCTTAATTCTCAATCCGGAAATCTGTTTTTATTATTAAAATTATCTCTTCTATTTTCATTAGACCGAACTTTCTGTACTAGAATGATACTTAGCCGCACCTCGCGAGTTACCAGCGACATAATTAACTACGTGAAAGTATACCATTTCCATACGTGAATATCAGTTTGTCACGCAATGTTTATATCCTATAGCTGAGAAAGATTTCTAGATATTTTCTCTGCCGGTAGTACGATGATGTACTTTCGTTATCTGGAAATCTTTGGTCTGCAAAACTGTAGAGTGAAATAAAAAATATCTCGTAAAAATGTTGAAGTGCGTGAAATTAGAACAGACCTGTAACACGAGCGAACGTTCTCTCAATGCGAGGCTACGTAACGCAAATGATTGAATAATTGAGATAAAGCTCTTCATAAATTTGCGCGACGACAATTATACTCTCGCAGCACACTTGTGTGACGATAGAGCAAAGAGCAAAGCAGACTTACGACTTACGTCCTTGTCGATCTCAGGCAATAATAATTCCCGACGTTTAATTATCACGTCTGAGGTTTATGTCATAAAGCAATCATAACTCCAGTCAATGCAATCATTGCGGCTCGAAACGCGCGCGTATATTACTTTAATCCCGCGGTCAACTTGTTCCTCTCGACATTTCCGCATACGCAACACGCGGAGATTTACACTGCGACGATTCATTAATATTCACTTAAGCAATTTTATAACTTAACGACTTATCTCAAATTGGATAAATCTTATCTCGTAAAATAATTATTTGTGTTCCTTTGGAAAACACGCGTCACGCGAGGCTACATTATTTACACAATTACCACAACTTTGTAATTAACTTAAAATTAACTCATTAGAGTGCGAAACGCTCACCGTTTTTGGCACGTGGGCTCCAGGTTGACGGCTGCTCTCGCGTCCACGGCTGCGGATTGGGGAAGCCTGGAGTCCCGTCGTCGGAATCCCGGTCGCGAGAAACTTGTCACTGTCTAGCAAACACCCTCTATCCGGCTCTCGTGTGTCACGCACTGGACCACGTGGTTGCGTTCACGTGTCGGGGGACAAAAGTGGCGCGAGCCGCGCGCGCGCCACCGCGGCTTTCGTTGGACTGCGTGCGTTCTCTCCGTCGTGGCGGTCCTCGCGCTGATCCCGCTGCCACCACCACCACCACCTCCACCGCTACCGTCGTCTCCTCCACCGCTATTTCGCCATCCTCGTCGCTCGCCGATCCTTCCCGCCTCGGATCTGCATCGGCTCGTCTTCGTCCCGCGAGCTTGCGGCGTTTCGGCAACCGCCCCGAGCTTGCGACGATTCTCTCCACTCGGACTGCATCGCACTCCCCGCCAGCTCCAACCCCTCATCGCGCACTGCAACCATTTGTAAGGAGACATAACGATGTCCCATGTACGTTTATCATTTCTATATATATGGATAATATAGCTTAGTCGCACTTCTCTTTTAAACTTGTTCAATGTGCTTGATTTTTGATATATATATATATATATATATATATATATATATATATATATATATATCAGCTAATAATAGCATGTGTCATCCGAAAAATTTCATAACACTTGGAATAATAAAATAAAAAAATATAAAATAAAAATGTAATTTAAAGTAAAATATAAATATAATTATTTATATATTAATATAAATATTATTACATTTATATATATATATTTTACTTTAAATTACATTTTTATTTTATATTTTATATTTTTTTATTATATTATTCTCCAAGTGTTATGAAATTTTTCGGATGACACATGCTATTTTTAGCTACACTTTGACATTAATATATTACCTAATATGTGTATATTTTTTACTTATTATTAATATAAAAAAATTTCAAATAGATTAATATTTAGATAAATATTATGTACATTAGAAAACGATGAATGTGCATTCAAGTGTAAGCCTTCAGTTGATACAAAGCCATTAGTTATTCATATTTGCGCGGTATTACATAAATACTAGAGAAGAGCAAATAGACGTACTTGATAAGGCTCTCGATCATAAGATATGACCTTTGCAACCGAGATGCTATCCACTCACAACATCGATTATTGAAATGCTATATATTGCGCGAACTTTAATGATCAAAACACTATATTTTTGCCATAAAGGCAGATACACTCAGTTCGATTTATTAAATAATAATTTCATAAATTTAAATAATTTATTAAATAATGATACACGCAAATAGTATCACAGAAATGGTGCGATTTATATTTTTTATTATTAAAAGTTTTATAGATCATCTGTGAATTTCGAATTTTATAAAAGTTACATGGACGTATATTATATGTATATTTATAAGCGCGCTGAAAATACAGTTGAAATTGCATGTTATTTACGAGAGTGACGTTCAAAAAGGAGAGAGAGAGAGAGAGAGAGAGAGAGAGAGAGAGAGACCTGCATGCCGACATTGTCGTCGAATGACCGAAACATTTTCAATATCAACCGCAGATTTCGTCTTCGTAAAATTACAATTGGTACCTCGTCTGTACGATTGGCCATCGGCTATCGAGAATAATGGAGCAGTTGGCGAGAGCCGATATAAGGAGGGGAACATCGAGCCAGGTCTCGGGCCTCGGTCTCTGTCGTATTCGAGATGCCCCGGGGCCAAAACGGCCACGGCCGACAACATCGTTCCAGAATGCCCCGGGCACTTCCAAACCCACCGGACGATGTTGCTCGCATACGTAAACGCCAACTTCGTCAGGGACAAAGTGACGCTCGTATATATGTTGATCCGGCCAACGTGGGGAAGAGAAGAAAGACAGAGGAACGGTGGAAGGGACGGGAACGAGGGAAAACGCGACGAGGGAAGAGCGACTTTGCCATTTCGAGACTCATTTTAACGTTCGTCTGAATCGCACGTTCGCGGCTCGTTTCTGCGCCACTCGCTTTAGGCGATTTATGCCCGCCAGGCAATTACGGGACGTCCCAAATCTCCTCGATTTCTCGCTTTTGGGAAATGCATGCGCATCGACGGCGTGTCTGAGCATTCATGTATGCATCCTGCACAATCGTGTGACTGTATTGTAACTATTGTACAGGTTGTACGTGAACAAAGTCAGTTAAATTAAAAAAGAAACAAATTTCTTTAATGAATACGGAATCGAATTTGTTTCTAGAAAAAAAATGAAACAACCCTCTGTCGTTTTTCAATAATATTATGAGAATAATTTTGAGCAATTTTTATTTTCGCTTCGTTCATTTCTCAAGTGAAGAAGAAACTAGCGAGATTTTTTTATCGTCATTAATTAATAATATTATGTATATTTCATGTAAGAAGACAAAAGTAGATACTCCATTCATAGAACAGCTATTATTTAAATACATGATAGGTAGATCGGTCTTTTGGAGTAACAGGCTCCGAAATGAATTTAGCATGACAGGAAAAAGCAATCATTCATAACGTTTAACTTTTATTCGTCAGTTTGCAATCAGCTAGTTTGTATTTCATTAACTCATTTCTGATCAATTCTACTTCCCGACAACTTTAATAAAGCTTAAGTATTTATATTTCCTTATTCTGTCATTTATTGTATATAAAAATTACCTCATTTTTTGTTTGGTTAATATATCTTGTGCAAAGATAACATGATTATCGTAACACGATAAAGCTCTTCGCTGCGCGGCAGATTAATATCTGAAAAAAATTTGGGATCCGGAAACACGCATAAAGATCCTTTCGAGAGGCGAGCATCGCGTCGTAATTAATTAGCCGGTGATGCGATCGCCGGCGTTTTCGTTTCGACTCGTTTAGTGGATACGTAATTCTCGAGGCAGAAGGATATCCCAACGGCGTGATGTGGAATGGGAAGCGAACGAGGAAGGAAGAAGGTTGTGTGCGGAGGAGGACGAGAAAAGGAGGACGAAGAAGGGGGAAGATCACGGGACCGGGGAAGGAGGATGAGCATAATGGTGGTCACATGCCCGCGGGCTCTTCGCGGAGAGGAGAGGAATAAGAAGGAGACGGGAGAGAGGAGGCTGCGGTCCAGAGAGAGAGGAAAATAATGCGATGTTTTTGTATCATACGATATACACAGGCGATGCTCTGGCCGGACCGGTATACGCCCGGAGCATCCAGCGGGATGTAACGAGAAGAGTCCGAGTGTTGCCCGTGGGTCCACATATTTTAGGGAGAGAAGCCTTCTTCCCTCCCCTCTCTCTCCCTCCCCCCCCACGTCCTGCCCTTCTGCGCCCCCTGATTTGAACCTACGTGTCTCTGAAACGGGTCGTGCTGTGCCCGAAGGCGAGAATTCCGCTTCTCCACCTATCCGTCCGGCGTTCTTATTCCTCACCCACCCCCTCCTCTCCCTCGAACCTGGCTTGCTTTTCGTTGTCTTCTGTACTTTTTATTTTTTTTTCATGCAGACGATCTTTATGCATGAATCATCGCGCAAATTCTACGGCCGCGTGTTCCATCAATTAAAAATTCTATGACACACTTTCGCGTCTAATTTTCCTCAGCGAAAGTGGAAGGAGAGAGAAAATGGATATTCGTGTTTATTAACGCGCATACGTGTACGTGTGCTTTTCAATTTTAATGTTAAATATATCTTCTTGATACGCGTGATAAATTTGTAAATTAAATATCCGAGATTAGAATCTCGAGATAAGGTCGATTGAGAGGTAAGATTTCTTTCTAATTTACTCCGATACTCAAACTCCACGCGCGCGTCCCTCAAGTTGAAAGATCTCGTAATATATTATGAATATAAAAAAGAAAAAAACTTTGCAAACCTTTAGACGCAATAAGTTCTCTCGCGCCTCTCGCTCGGATCAATTTCTGTAAAACTCGCTACGCGCGACCTGCCAATCAGTTTGAGATCCAAAGTGTATTTCTGCCGTTTCTCTTCTTCTCTTTTGTCCTCGCAGGCCGATGCATCGTTCTGCATGCGCAAAGTACACGTATACAACGGCCATAGGTTGCGTTCCAAAGAGGGGGAGGTAGGTTGGAGAGGTCTTTCTCTCCGATGGTTACGTGACCTCCGGTGGGTGTATGTTTAACCTTTTCGATGGCAGTCGGCAGAGAGGAGAGTTTAGCCGGCGGCCCCCCCTCTGTTCCCCTCCCCCCTCGCCCCTCCCCGACTCGACGATTACCCACGCAAGCGAATGTAAATTACCGGAGGCTGTGAATCATTTTTAGAAGATCCCAGACGACCCCTGCGGTCTTTCTCTCCTTCGCCATAGCTTATACCTTTCGTCTCTCTTTCCCTCCCTTTCTCTCTCTCTCTCTCTCTCTCTCTCTCTACTTCCAACTGCGCTCTCTTTCTCTCTGTACCCTTTCCTTTCTTTCGCTATACCTTCACCTCTCGTTCATCCGTTCTTTCCGTTTCGTCCTCGTTTACCCCCGCACGAACTTACATAAGGTAAGAGAACGCTCCCTGAGAAAGGTAGGCAGCTCGCGTAGATGTGCCGTGGGATGTGCTCCGGGCCTCGACTCCCACCTAGGCATGATCGGACCCCGCTAACAATGCTTATTAAGTATCTCCGCGAATCCTGGAAGATGAAACTTTGCACTCGGGAAACAGCGGAGGTATTTTCAATCGACACGCGCGTCAAAATTCTTATTCATTTATGTCAATAGCACGCATTTATATCTTTTTGGATTTATAGATCTGAAATACTGTGGATATTCCGTTTTATTTGTATGTATAACTTTAATTGCAGCACGTCATGCTTGGTTAAGAGAATTATAATTCATAATTATAATTCTCACACAATTGCAAATTAGCAGCTAAATTATTTCACGAGGGTATTCGGAGCTTTAATGTTATCAGTAAATTTTATAGTAGAAACTAAAGAGCGTTAGAGAGATGCTTAACCAAGCGTAATTGGCCATTGATACTATGGGAATTATTTTATAGAATTAACTAATTGCACGTATTATATAAATTTACAAATACGCATTGTCGATTTTCCACCGATTCTGTAATGAGAATGTCTGTTGCCGATAATCGCGATATTAAAAGCATTAAATGCACATGTTGTACCGCTTTTAACCTTAATTACTGATCCTCTCTAACAAAATGTTTTTGTTATCTTGATATTTAAATTTATAATTTAAAAAGTGTAATTTTAAGAAAAAGAAAAATATATATCGTTCAAATAGAATCTCTAGAATCAAAAGATATACAGTGTTCAAAATTTATGTTTTTACCTTGATTATGATATGTAAATCCTTCGTTTTACTATAATTGTTAAAACTGTAAGCCTTGATAATTTAATTTATTAGGTTGACATAAAGCAAGATTTTAATACAGCATCGTCTGAAACGATGACATTTTTCGTAATAACATTTACAAAGAAAGACGTCAATAGTGTTTATACGCGACCACAATTTAATAAAGTAAGGTTCTTTAGCGTGGAAATTATAGAGTGCATCAATACAACATTGTTTTATCGTCACCATAAGCTATATTTCAACTCATTCACGCGGCTTTAACGAGGAGGCTTAACCGCAATTAATCTCCGAGAAGCTCTCGTCTAATAATACTCCTATAATCACTCCATTAAATGTCATTGCTGGCCTACCGAGTTCTTACCATGGTTTTATGCCCCCCGCTCACTTTTGTAAGCAAGATTTACATGCGAGCGCAAGTTTTGCTCTTCTCTGGATGCGTTTCGCAGTAAAAGTCAACGAGCTTCTCGCGTACGGTAATCAAGCGTTTGGAAAACCTCCTTCTATATGGTAACTCGTTGCCCGCGAGCAACCTTACGATAAGCAGAGTCTTTCGGCGCGCTGATACATATATTTTTTTAATTTATTCCACGCCGATGATGTCGATAATTCCAATCATCATCGCATCATACGGTCGAAGACATGTTATTAAGCAATAAAAGATAATCACGTCGGGTTTATGAAGATAAGAAGATTGCGGACACTTGAGTGACACGTACTACTTATTACTTTCGATTAAATAATGTTCGAATTAATTTCCTCTAACATTCACGACGTTACAAGTGGAAAAAGATCAAATTTTATGCAATCACGAAAAAGAGGAGGATCCTGATCTGCCAACTGCTTTCCCTGGCAGCTTACAGATTGAAATTAAAACTGAATTAGCGTTGTATCTTTGGACTTGGCGCATCAATTGCAGTATGAAATTGTTTATTGAGACGTGCGATCAAAACGGAGGAAACGCATTTCGTGAAAAGAAGGAGGAAGCATCGTGCCGTTTTCCTCCTCTGTCCTTCGGCGGAGTCTGCTTGTAGGCAACGAGACCCGCGGCGACTCGTGAGAATCGTAGAGATCGAGCGAGATGGCGATACACACGAGAAAGGCGATGGTCTGTGTTGGCTCGCGGGGGCGTTCGACCGCTTCGAAGCACACGTCCGCGCGCCTGGTCGCACACGACAGAAGAGAGACACGTGGAGCATCGGGCGAAGGGCAGAGAGAGAAAGAGAGAGAAGGAGAGAGAGCGGGATAAGATGTAACGAAGGTGAATATATGGTATCTCGCAGAGGTTCGCGAGGTGAGAAAGAGAGAGAGAGAGAGAGAGAGAGAGAGAAAAAAAAAGAAAGAAGTGCTCGAAGCATTGAAAAAAAAGAAATAGATCTCCCTTTCCTCTTCCCCCTCTCGCCCGTTTCTATCTCGCTTTCTCTTTACGACTTTCTCTTTCTCCCTTCTCTGCCTCCGCCTCTCTCTATCTTTCTCTCTCCCAACTCCGTTTTACTCTCATTTTCTCTTTCCCTCCGTTCGTTTGCCTCTCACTGCAATTAGGGAATTGCCCCGGGTATTTTCGTATTCATCGCAATGCAACCATCGCTGACATGCATTGCCGCGGCGACGATAAAGGTGCGCAATGGGTTATTTTCCATACATTGTTCGCGAAAATGTGGCGCTCGAATTCCGCTGAAGGGCTAAACGCAGGCGGTGCGTTATTATTGGCCGGCTGTATAATCGGGATGTGATCGTTTGACTTTCGCAAGAGATATTTACCGCTGTAACATAAATGCGTTCGTATTTTCACATTGTCATGCCGCGTACATAAATGAGTTCGATAATTTTATATAAAATTTCAATCGATACAAAAATGCAATGAGAAATAACATGAAA